TCTCGGCTTATAATCCCCCCTAGAAACAATTCTCACCAACAATGACTTGCAAATTTTTAACAATATCACTCACCCTGTTATTATAGCAGGGACCTGAACTCTAAACATCATAGCTGGAATTCTCAAAGAAATAACACAAATGGCAACAACTTTATAGCTATGCTCTTACGAATGACCTTAAGAATTTTTGGACCAACGGAACCTACACCAGGTATCATCATACAGGCAGCTCGGATGTTCTCGACATAGTTATTACAAAAAATATCCAGCAAATACCTTTCCTACAGGTGATTAATCAATTAACCTCTGACCATCTCCCTGTTAAATTTACTTACCATGGCTTTGAGAAGACCTTGCCTTTAAAGAAAATTATAAACTGGCAGAAATTCAATAATTCTCTGGAACAATTACCTGCACACCCGGCTCTTGCCGATATTGTAAACATTGAGTACACTATCACTAACATCAATAGTAAAATTAAGAAAGGCCTTGATGATTCCATCAAATTCAAAGATTATAAGAAAGACAAGCTCCCCGACCACATCATTGAGAAAATAAAAGACAAAAACCGCACAGCAAAAATCTGGCGAAGAACAGGCGATCCCACTGTTAAAAGAAATCTGAACAGAAAAATTAGGAACATCAAGACCCTCCTCCTAGAGTACAGATCAAATTGTTGGGACGATTTCTTACACTCCATGGATTTCTCTCCGAATACAGTCTGGCGTATTGGAAATTCCTTAAGGAATACTAATAACAGAAATATTGGTCCTCTCCACACCAGTAGTGGAATTGCTTATTCTGAACATGACATGCGCAGCATCTAGAAAAGACTTTCACCAATCATGCCTCTAATAATGATGAGATAGATGAAGAAGTCGATAATTTCATTAACCACCTAGCTGACAGAAATTGTAATAATCACTTCAACCCAACTTCTCCAACAGAAATAAGTAATATAATTAGCAACTTAAAGTCCAGGAAAGCTCCCGGCTACGATAGCATCACCAATACGGTTCTCAAAGCTCTCCCAAGAACCTACATAGTCCTCATTACAAACATAGTCAATGCTTGTATGAGGCTCAATTACTTTCCCGCAACAGTGGAAGCACGCGCAGATAATTACGTTTGTCAAGCCGGGGAAAAACCCAAAGGACTTAAACTCCTACCGTCCGATCAGCCTTCTCCCCAGTTTGGGAAAGGTATTTGAGCGTGTGCTCCAAAAGAGATTAACTCAACATCTTAGAGGATAAGAATATTATATGTAAAGAGCAGTTTGGTTTTAGAGCCGGTCATAGTACCGTGCACCAACTACTGAACGTTACAGAATTCATTGCAGACTCCTTCGCAAAAAAGAACACAATCGCCAGCTGCTTTTCTAGATCTAGAAAAAGCATTTGACAAGGTGTGGCATGAGGGTCTCCTCTACAAGCTGCACCTTGTTCATCTGCCCATCAGAAACAGCTTTTTATTAAGCTCATGGAAAAGCTATCTTAAAAACAGGACCTTTCAGGTAAAAATTAATGACTCTCTCTCTCAAGAAAAAGAATTAAAAGCGGAGTGGCTCAAGGAAGCGTTCTGGGACCGCTTCTGTTTAATATCTACACGAATGATATGCCGGTTCCTTTGAATGCAAAAGTAGCGAAATATGCCGACGACACAGCAATTTTAACCAAGTCGCTAAAACCTCAGCTCGCTGTAGATAAACTTGAAAGCGCAGTAAATATCATAGCACACTATTATGATTCACGGAAATTAAAAGTAAATCCATCAAAGAGCCAAATTCTCCTTTTCAGACGTCATCGGAAGTTCACTCCTGTGAATGTAAATATAAAAATTAATGATCAAGCCCTAGCAATTGTTTCAAGTACTAAGTATCTAGAAGTGGTCTTCGACTCACAGCTGTTATTCAAAGAACACACGGAGTATGCCTTGCGCAAAGCCACCGCTGCTAAAATGTCTCTTTACCCTTTAATAAGAAGAAATGCTAAATTAAATATCAGTCTCAAGAAGAAGATCTATACCAGCTTAATAAGACCCACCCTACTTTATGCAGTGCCTATCTGGACCACTGTGTACAAGACTTATAGACACAAACTACAGGTCTTTCAGAACAAAATACTCAGACAAATTGTTGACTCCCCATGGTTCGTACGTAACCTGCAGATACATAAAGAACTAAAATAAGACCCATAGCTGATCAAATTCTCACCACGAGCCACAATTTCTATGCTAAAATAGAAACTTTCTCAATACGAACATATCCGTGATCTGATAAATTATGATCCTACTATAGAAATTGCAGCAAAGTGCCCAAGAGGCATCTTCCATAACAGCAAATGGTGAAATGTGTATATATTGTACATAGTACTATTATCTTTATTTTATCTTCATTGTGTCATTTTACCAGTGTCTTTGAAACTTTATAGACTTATGGACATGATCCGTTACCTGGATCTTCAAAGCTCTGATTATTTATTGCTAGTGTAAAACGTTTTTCACCATTTGCTACTTCGCTCAAATACCGCCGTCCCTATCTGTACATATTGTATAGTTTCAGTAACTCATGTGCCTCAGTGTTGTGCAAGAACTTTAATGTGTTTTAATTTCTCAGACCAAGACTTCACTGAATTGTGATATCTACTATTTCAAGATGCATTGACTGTAGACAGTTCACGGAGGGTGACCCCCACGTGACTACCACTGCCCAAAAAAAAAAAAAAAAAAAAAAAAAAAAAAAAAAAAAAAAAAAAAAAAAAAAAAAAAAAAAACAAAAAAAAAAAAAAAAAAAAAAAAAAAAAACAAAAAAAAAAAAAAAAAAAAAAAAAAAAAAAAAAAAAAAAAAAAAAAAAAAAAAATCTGTGTTTTACAGCAAGGATGAATTTGAATTATTTTGTTTAGCTAATCTGTTGCACTTAGTTGTGCCATTTGTCTTCATTTAGATCGCGATATTAGTTTAATTATTCCAATCTGGATAACCTGTTTCAAAACTTGATAATTATTAATATATCCAATACTCATTGCACGCGTAAGCTGCTTTGCTCGGAGTCTGAACTTGGGTGGATGACCACCCACGTGACAGGCTCCTGCCAATCATCTCCCTCCACTCCACCTACATTTCACAAAATTTGACAAGTTTCGCCTAGTTGGCGCGGCGTAAATCGCCTTAATTAAAAACTTAAGTACCAACGCCTTAGGGCAATTTACCAACAGAGACGGTTAAAGTAGCGGTTAGTTACTAATTGCTGCCTAGCCATTGACTCGATTTCGATTTCGCATTCTGAGTTATAATATGAACGAAATATAATACTGTTAATTGAATCTAGCGCCAGAGTGTCGCTATGGTAAACAAAGTGAATTTTAAAGAATGCATTTATTCTATTGTGGTTTATGCGCTGTCGGCGAAGTATATTTAATTCAACCCAATAAGTTTAAATGAAATGCAAGAAAAAATGCGTATAATTTAATATTCCGTACAAGGAAGTCATGTGGTGTATACATCAGATTTTTTTTTCAGAGCAAATGTATGCATGTGGTTGTGATAAATTGGAATTATATAGTATGTTTGTCATAAAACTTAAAAGCTTTGGGAAACATTGCCATAATCTATTAATGTATAAAAGTAAGTTATAAGAAAGAAAAGCTGCTACTCTGTGTGGTAACAATATAAAAGACAGAATTCTGCATTATTTCAAACAGGGATAGGCAAACTATGGCTGGCCGGAAGCTTATATCCGGGCCGCGGATAGAATTTTAATTTGCCGGCTAGAGGCAAATTAAAAGAAGCATATATATTATATATCCATCTCCTTTTCAACTTAAATTTTTTTTTTCTTCCTTTTTATCAAAGGACTGATGATATTTTTACTTTCTCTATTTTTGTTCTACAAAACATAAATCGACAGAAATTGCAAGCACAGACAGCTTTCAAAATGGGAATCTAGCTACTAAGAACGACTTGTCTCATTTCCCGAGTTTAAATTCAATACCCTCAGTAAATTAAGAGAAGCTTAAGAATTGGCTTGGAAAGTAAGATGAAGGAAGCTAAGATGGCTTGGAAAAAACTGCATTTTGAGTTCGAACGCAGATTTCAGTGCCCATTCAAACAGAACTGGATATTTTTACCGTGGCTTTCAACGTAAATTGTGAAGCAATGAGGTCATATTTGCAGCTTGAATTAATTGATTTGCAATCTAACAATCATCTCAAGTAGTTGTTTCTAAATATGACAAAGTTTGAGTTTTACAAATATTATCGAAAGTAAGTTTCCCAAATTTAATATCTCACGCCTAGAAAATCAGTGCTATGTTTGCTTTATCTTATATATGTGAACAAGTGTTTTCAACTGTAAAAATTAGAAAGAATTATTTCAGAAGTAGATTGGCGAATGAGCATTTAGCCTCGTTCGTTAGAATCGGTACATCTCACTTCGAACATCAATATAAGGAACTTTAAAAAATGAAATCGCAATTTCATTCATCTCATTAACATATTTAACTTGTAATACTTGTATATTGTTTTTAAAATTTTAGAAAAACTTCTCTTGGCTCGCCAAACTTTCTTCTTTCGATTTTTGGCCCGCGACCGAAAAAGTTTGCCCATGCCCGATTTAAAACAAATCACATCGCTCAGGAATAATATACTTACATGAGTAAATGACTAACTAAGGAACTGAATTGAATTGTTACATTAAGGGGGGTGATGAGGTTTTCATCCTAGCTTTGACTGAAATTATCCCAGGAAATGAATTGGTTTATAACCATCTGTCCATTATCATCCAACTCCTCACCCCCCAGAAAAAGACTTCCTCCCCCCTTTTCAGCTGCATAGCAAGAGCTATAATTTAAGAGCCTTATTCATTTTGCTACTGTTTTCTCTGCCCTCAACTTATTAGTTCTAGGAATTCAGTGGCTAAGTGTTCAGTTATTAAACTTTTATTGTATGTTGTTTGCAAGCAGAAAATATCTAAATGATGGTTTGAATATTAAAATATTTTTCAGGTATAAAGGAGAAGACTATACATTTCCAAGAACAAATTCAGTTGCATATAGACAATTTCGAAGGCCCCACTTGCCAACCTTGTGTGAAAAATGTGGTTGGGGCGCAACAGAATGTTGGCGATACGTTTATCAATGACTTTTGCTGCTCATTTTTCTTCAAGCTTGTTCTTAATATCTGTGCAGTGATATTTCGAAATTTTACAGCATTATTTTTCAAAAATCAGGTTCCACATTGAATTCTTAGAAAACCTAAATGAATACTGAATTTTTACTACCGAGAATATATTTTAATTCTCAGGTTTAAAATTATGTATATAAATAAAATTAATTATTTATTCTTAAATAAGTAATTTAATTTATTTACATACATGCTTTTTAAACTTATTTCAACAAATAGAACATTTTTATGTATGCATGAACTATCTTCCATTCTAAATTTAATATTTTTATTGCAAGAGAAAACTGCACAGTAATCTGGACTATAGCTATTTCAGATTCTCTTTTGGTATAGCTTTTGATATAGCTATTATATAGAGAAAATGACATCTCTTGCTGTTGATTGCTGGATAATAGTGAAAAAACTTTATTCATTAGAAGGTACTTAAATGTAAAAAAAAAGGTTAAAAAAAATACAGCCAAACGATTATAATATAAATCACATCTGAAGACATTTTTTTTTATCATTGTAACCATTAATTGAATCCAAGGCTGCAGAAAGATATTCAACGTGTTAATTCTTTGTATAGTTCTGATGGTCTACTGTAGAAAAACACAAGTGCATGTTTGCCTTTGCTTGTGTAATTTATCAATTTCGAAATTTCTCGCAACTCTGGGATGCAGTATTTTAATTAATCTGGATATTTTTTTAAACAACTATCATGGTTTGTTTGCATAGAATTGCAATCCTTGGTATGCATAAAATATGCATCTGAAATATTACTTCATTCTGTTATTCTAAAACTGATTATATTTCTGAAGAATAAAAAGAAACAAAAAGTTTAAACTTTAATATATTTAAACGGCATACATTTTTAGAACATGTTAACTAATCAGATTTTTGTAACCATCATTATTATTTACAAAACTTTTTTTTTTTTCCTTCAAATTTTCAGTAAGAAAATTTGCATTATTTCTTCAAGGAACTGGATTTTATTACTTGTGTTTCTGCACTCCTGAAGATGAGTTATTTTTTTGAAACCCATTCAGTACAGATCATCTAATGTAATAATAATATTGTAAACAAAATCATATTTTTATTAAGATTTGTGAATTGAAACTTTTAAAGCAGGTAAAGAAAATATGGAAATAGTTTTATATAAATTATATTTAATGAATATGTATGACTACACAGATATAAAAATCAAATTATGATTATTTAACAAAACAGGTTAGACAGCAATATATTAAAATTATCATATTTAGATTTTCATTGCATTAGAAGAATAAAACAAGTAATTATAGAATCTGAATTTTTATTTTAAAACATTTTACCACTGGAAATAAATTTTAATTATAAAGCAATTTCATTTCTCAAAAACTTCTGTACAAGTGTGGTTAAAAATATCTATAAATTAAAAATTTGTGTTTAACAAATTTTGGCAACTATAACAACATTTGACAGGAATCTTAATGTACACACATGATTTTATGCAGCTATTTTGAAAATTTTAATATTTTAAGATTTTCTTTTATATATTTCAATGATGAATTTTTTCTAATAAATGGTACTGGTAAAAATCTTAAAAAACAGTTTGTAAAGGACATTTGTCAATAGTATATGTTTACAGTGAGACTTTTAAACATAACATGCATTTATAGTATTTAAAAGCACAGTATGCAATAATTATTATAAAGAATTTTCTTTTCTAAACTGCAAATTAACAATAATGAATTAATTAAAAAATACAAAGATTTCAATACTTAAAGACTTATTAAATTATATTTTAAATATGAAAGCTAGAAAGGGAGAGCACATACTTCTTGTAATTGATTTAGTGAAGAATAAAAATATAAACAGGAATTAAATTTGCTTTTTCCCTATTTGGTATCAAAAGGCACTTGCAAAATATTTGATAATAACATGATTTAAGACTTTTATATATATAGAAATATATAATTCTATATAACAAATACTCTGAACTAATTTTCGTACAAAAGCATTGCAGTAGTTACATACAGTATGCTTCAAGTAATGCTCTTTTAGAATAAAATGCATTTTATTTTACTTTAGAATTGAATTATTTTCAGCTAATGAAAGAATATTCATTGCTAGAATTCACTATGGTAAATGTTAACTTATCTATTGTTAGAAGCGAATGTTATCTTGAAAGACAATCAAAATGATAAAAATGTCCCCCAGCATTATGTGTATATAATTTAGAGATGTATGAAGTAAGTAAACTTTTCATTCATCATATTTAAATCCTGCAAAAACATGTTCAAAATATGGTATAAAATAATATGTGAATTTTTTTACACAATGCTCAAAATACTATGAATACATCAAGTTAAAAAAATTATAGGTGTAAACAAATTTATTCCCAAAGAATGTATTGAGAATAATTTTTTTCTATAAAAAATTTTTTTGCTAACTTAACATTTCATGTTTACAGGTGATTGGTCAAACACAAAAATTTCATGTAGTTCTCATTTAGTAACAAAAGAGAGTAATTTATTTTCAGCATAACTACCCGTTTATGATTGGCTATTTTTATATACATCTTAAAATAAAATTTAGAATAACAGTTTTTGTATATACACATATAATAAATTTTTATTGTTAAATTAAACTTGCATTTGTGATTTAAAACACATTTCAGGAACATAACTTAAAAAAAAAATTGTGGCAGTCTTGGGATGATTTAGTCCGCAAGGCTTTAATCCATGATTCCATCACAGAACTTTACAGTAACATGTCTAAAATATTTATACATAGTCTGTAAGGCATTGTAGTGAACTCTTTTTCTCTCAGCAAAGAATGCCTGTTACTTTGCATTAAAAGTCAGATCATCTTGCATTGTCAGTGGCTTAATAATAAAAGAAATCCAATTATTATATTATTTGCTTCTTTCTAGGACTTTTTCAATCACAGCCACAAGAGCTCTTTTTTCAATAGAATCAGCTAATATAGAAATATGACTCAGTGCTTTATTACAGTGCTGTTCTGCAAGGAGCTTTGTACGAGGAAGTCCATCACTCTAAAGAATGAAAAAAAATTATTTTCATAATTTTTTATATTCAAATACATTTTGAAATTTCATTTTATAACACAAATATAAAGTAGGACATTATATTTTTTACACCTTACCATACCTCTTAGAATACAGTATTTCCCGATTGGTGTAATTTGTTTTTATAGTATGAAAAGATCACATTCCTAATTGCTTGAAAAGTATTAACTTTTTATGGGAATTATTTTAATACATTACAATAATATCGAAAAATGACTACTGGCTACAAAATTTCTGCTGTCTTATTTGATTTTATTAAAATAATGGTTAATGCTTATTATACCATCATTTTGTGATTGCCCTGGAGGGCAGTTCTATATAGCCCATTCTATTGGGACGATTGATGAAATTAGTGCTTTTGAGACATGAAAAATGCATTTTGAATTTTGTCAATAGGCCCAGTAGAATGGAAGGTATAGAACAGTACCCCCTCTTTTTTCCCCCACAATGTACATATGTATTAATTTCATAGCTTTCTATATCTTGTGAGTAAAATCTTCGGTTGAGCAACATTTGGTTGAAACAAGTTTTAGTTTCTTTTTTTTTTAGTTGATGTATGGCAAAGCTATATTAAAATATTAATTTAATTTTATTGAATTACTGAATCAAACATAAAACATACTTCCTACATATATATATATAAAACTCATTCGGATGTCCCAGGATTCTCAAATATAATAAGAAATATTATTGACTCTTAACAATGGGAAATATTGTAATTCAGATAAATGTGCATGACTTTCAGTTAAGTGCTTATATGCGTTCTAGGATGGAATACCAAACAAATGACTGAGAACTAGGAAAAAAGCACACTAAATGCAGCACGAGTCTCCCACAAGAACATCATAAACCATGAGTCTCCCACAAGAACAGCCACTTGTTATATCTTCTCAACTAGCACTTTGAACAAAATGGTGAGAAACATAGTTGCCCATGTGGACATGTATTGAAAAACATACTGGTTATTTCCAGCATTTTCTCTAAAAATACTATATCTCAACTAGCACTTTGAACAAAATGGTGAGAAACATAGTTGCCCATGTGGACATGTATTGAAAAACGTACTGGTCATTTCCAGCATTTTCTCTAAAAATACTTATTTTGTCCACTCTTCCTGTAATGTAGTCTTATGGTATAACACTGCACACATTAAACACAATAAATCAACAGGAAAATAAAGTGTGACATAATTAAAGTTTGTGAACTTCTGACTTGCACTCCATTATCGATTCAGAGTGCATAAAGTATGCTTTAAACAAGTTTGAAAATACTCATTTCAAAAACAAACAAAATTATATTCGAGGAAATAAACCTTTAAATAGATTAAAAGTCTAAAGAACTTTAAAATCTTCCTGTAATGTAGTCTTATGGTATAACACTGCACACATTAAACACAATAAATCAACAGGAAAATAAAGTGTGACATAATTAAAGTTTGTGAACTTCTGACTTGCACTCCATTATCGATTCAGAGTACATAAAGTACGCTTTAAACAAGTTTGGAAATACTCATTTCAAAAACAAACAAAATTATATTCGAGGAAATAAACCTTTAAATAGATTAAAAGTCTAAAGAACTTTAAAATAAAGTGTACAATCGGGTAAAAATAAAATAATGAATTTTAATTTCTAGTCATTCATGCTTATCAATACAAAATGATTGATTTAACATTCAACAAAAACTAAATTTTAAAAGGAAAAAATACTTGCATCTGTTTAAGAATCTGATATTTTAGAAATGTGTGTAAATCTTGAATATGCTTTGTTAAAAAGTTAGTCTTACATTCAAACAACTCTTAATTAAAAAGAAAGAAAGAAAAAATATAGATGTATTGTTTCTCACTATTAACATAAGATTAGACTGACAGTAAAACTAAGTGAACTGAAAGTGAGTAAATCAATTTAATTTTGTATTTTTTAGAATTTTATGACAGCATAATGAACAAAATTTCAAATTGACAAATCTCTTCAGTATTCAAAGAACCAGGATTCTCTTGTAGATAATTTTGAGACTCATATTAATTTTGCTATGCATCTGTTTCATCTTGAATGAAGAATAGGATTCAGGAGAATTCTGATTTTAGAAATGTTCCATTAGTTTAGAGCTACAATTAAAAGAAGTACATTAAGAAAATAATACATGCATTAAAATAAGAAAACGTATTTTTCCATTTTTATTCAAGTAGTAATCAATTCTAATACAGACCACACTTATAGGAGATAAAATGCTTTAAAATTATTCTAACACAAAACGATGATAAAAAATGTTTAAAAAATCTTCACATTAAACATTTCTTAAAACATTAAACAAATGTTAAAACATTTTTTGCCTATGAACAGAAAATGAGCAGCAATATTCATACTCATGAAATGGTGCTTCTTCCTATAAATACAAGAAAACATTTAGCAACAGAGGTAATAAACCTTACATGAACTTGATGAAAGGTTTTTCACTTTTATCCAAATCTACAGTTACTGTAACCTCATTATCTTTTCTAATGGTGAATCATTCTCAGTTCAATCAAAGCACACGTGAATTTTACCTTAGGCTCTGCATACTTTGTACATTTATTAAAATGTGGATGAAACATCTCTAAGATAACCACTTACAATTTCAAATGATTCTGATTAATTGTAAAGGTGATCATCTTGGGAAAACACAAATGTAGGGTAATGCTTGATATTGATGTTTATTTACATTCTCTGAAATATTGCTCATCTATGGTCTTTTGTAGGAGTTTGTCATCATAAGAGTTTTTGTTGTAATGTTAAATATCATACATTTCATACAATAAAATTCTTTTGATTTTATGTAATTTCTACAAAATAAAAATGCCATTTTGGTATTCTATTTACTTTTTGAATTTTTTTCTGGAACTGAGGGTTTTTATATAATGAAAAAAGCATTTACATGGTAAAAATGACATTTTTAGTCAATGAAAAGTTTCATAGCAGAAAAACAGTTCTATAACATACCTTTAATACTGCTTCATATGCCTTTTCTACATCTCCAAGATTGGAAAAACCTCTCAAAATCAGTGGTTTTAATTCTGGATACTAAAAAATAAATGACTAATTTAAAATGCAAGATTTACTTTCAATTTACTTTTAATTTATTATGAAAAATTGAGGTCAATAAAAATAACTATTTATTTAAAACTTATCACATTTATGAAGTTTGTAGACTGTCAGCATTTTAGATACTTTTTTTTTTTTTAATTTTGCAAAAGCTAATAAAAATGGAAAACACAGCTCATTGTTTGCACACAACTTGCAAATTCTAATTGGAATGTCTTTATTCTGCAGATCAAGTAATTATTTGCTGTAATGCCAGTAAGGAATTTTATGTATTTATTTATTTTTTTGCATTTTATCTTTCATTTTAAAAATTATTTTCTACAAAAAAGTTATCTTCAGATTGAAAGGTACATCTAAAATCTTTGCAATAAAGATATGCCTAATAGAAAGTAAATTTTTACAGTTAGATGCATACTTAAGACATATTTTATATGAAGAGGGAATGGACATAACGTATTACATTTATTTTATTGGTTTTAAAAAAATGAACAATTATTTATGATTGAAAAAAATAAACAAAACAACAAAAGGAAGGGCTTATAAGGTAGTTAATGAAAGACTTTCCATTTACATGTTGCATATGTTTATTTAAACTAACTTTTAAAATTTTGTTAAAATTTATACTATATTGTATTATTTTCTATACAATTTAAATCAATGGAAAAAAATGAAACATCAAAAACCATAAGGAAGTTTACGTGTTTTAGGTGGAAAAAGAGGCAATCTAGATTGTTGGAGATTTAGATAATTTATAAATATTTCTGTATTATCTAATGCCCTATAAATATTTCATAAAAGTTTCAAGGATCCAAAGATGAAACTCCATTATTTTCATGTAAAACTAGTTAAAAAGAAAAAGAGTGAATAACTTAATGACCAACTAATACATTCTATATCTGTTATGCATTGTCAGTTTTAACACGTATTTTACTACAGTAATTTCTAAGACATGGTAATTTTGAAATGTGATCCATCAGGCCTATTTAAGCACCTATTTTAAGATAAAATGTGAACAATTATTTTCATAAAAATTATGAGAAACCAAGGTACAGGGATCAATGAACATTAGTAATTAGACCTGATAATTTCAGCCCCATAACAGATTACCTGCAATCAGTCCTTTCCCTATGTGTAATGTGAATACAAGCCAATTTCCCTTAAAAAGTCATCCCATGAATGCATCCTTGCCATGCTTTCCTTTAATTAAATTATTCAACAAACCACCATTTCTTGTTGTGTCTTGTTGATTACATTCAAGTATTTTCCTTTACTGGTCATAAAAAACTAGTAAAAATACTGTATAAATGTATGTTCAAATCAATGGATAATATAAAAATAATTTTTTTGATGATTTTTAGATTTTCAGTTTTTTACCTTGTTTTTAGTTAGTAATAAATTACTTTGTTGCTGACATAAAAACCAGTTTTAATAAAAATATTGAAATTAAAATAAATATATGTATTTAAAAATAATATGTGAAAATTAACAATAATTTCAACACTGATACTTAGGTATTCTTTTATTGTTTTATTGTGAGCTGCAGGTGCAGAATAAATACTCAAATTTCTACATACCTACACCACTCATCATTAAAGTGAAACAGATCAAGTTAATAAGAAAAGGCATATACAGTTCACAAAAAATTTAGACACATAGTTGATAAGAAATTATCTAAATTATTAGCTACACAGCTTGTAAATAAATCAAGAGTGCAGCAGCAACTTCTGGGAAGAATTGACAGCTACTGTTAAATACTGAACTGTATCTAGTCACCATTACTACACACATACATTTAAATTATGCCTCATCAAAAAACACAACAAGCTTCTGACTTTGATTAAGGGAAAAACTACCATATTCAAAATATGAATTTTCTGAAACATTGTAGCCATGATTCAAGAAGAATGGAATGCTATGACAGCAATGTAAATATGAAATCTATGAGTCAAGATGGAACATCACATCAGTAGGTAGGAAGACAGATATTTTGTGCTCATGGCTATTATGGATAATTTAACTGCACCACAAATTTTCTCTAGAATCGATCTTGACATGTATAATTAGATACTGCCTACATCACGAGATAATTTTTCTTTGTTTTGGCTAAACAAAGAGAAGGTCTGTAGGGTGATCCTGCCATTGTATGACATAATAACTCTACTACACCAGTGAACGAGAAAGCATAGAGCTTATTTTAAGTATGTAAACCATATCATACACCATAATTAAAGATTAATGCACCATAATTCAATTCACCATAATACTGTTGTGTTTCACATTACTGAGTTCCCACATACATGATTTAAACATTGTCTGCTTTATCATTAGTAGTTTTATAAAGCACTCATTGTTTTTTACACAGTCATTTTTATGATTGTAGTGATGTCTAGAATATTTCACATGAAGGGTATCTATTCGGATGAATACTATTTCTAAAAAGACAACACATTACAGATTATGATTATTACATCCATGTCAGAGTGATAATGCGAAGATTAATCGAGTCCTACATGATATCTAGCCACACTGAACCTGTACCTGGCACTATGATATAGATTACTGTTAGATTCCAATCCATACTGTGTTCAGAATATACTCTGATAAGTTAAATTACCACTATTACATCTCTGATGTGGTGCAGCCTGTTGTCGCATATTTTCAGAATTTATATGGGACCAGGTATCAAAAGGATTTTTCACCTACTGAACATATCTGGTTCATTATCTAATAAGGACTGGTATGTATTAGACCACCTGCATTTAACTCTAACACAATGTTTCTTCCCTTCTAAGTCAGCCAGTTTAATAACAGATTTACCAGTTGTAATTAAATTAAGTGCAATTGCAATCATTTTATCGTTATGGCATAATTATCTATGTAATGAATTGAGCTTTTAGCTATTTTTGATTGCACGATTGCAATACAGCTTTTTTTATTTAATTCATTTAAATTTCATTAAACTATCAATTAAACTTTGTTATTTGGAAACAGACTGTTAGTAGTTAAAAGATTTCTCATGAAGTTGTGTTTATAATAAACTTAGCAAAACATGCAGTTATTCATGCACTGAATTTGGAAAAACGAAGATCAAGTTGAAAGAACAAACTTCACTTAGACACATATACTAACCAACAAGTTATAACTTCTATTTGAAATAAAATATGAAACTTGCATATATTTAATTTGGAACAAAGTATAGGACTAAAACACATTTTGTAAAGATGCTTGATTATATATTATATTTGTATAATTTAAGTGAATGTTTACAAAAAATTTAGCCCATCAATTTTTTTTAACCATGTTCTTATTGCTCACTTATTCTTAACTATCCTCACAGTTTCTACGACCAGTAACTTCTATGTGGATTAAGACTGTGTTCAGGAACTAACTATGCATTATAAAATCAGAATGTAAAGTTAACTGTTTTAGTGTGTTAAATGTGTTTTTGTCAGAACTGCTTATTTATGAAACTGCTCTGTAAAAATTATTGCTATGCTGAATAATAAAAGCGAATGCCTTCTAAATACATTAAATGAATTTTAAGTACAACCAAACTCCATCTATCTGTACTAACTGGGATTGTCATTAGGCTCATAAATATAACTGAGTTGCTATTTTTCTTTAGATCACATATGTATTCACTGTATTTCAAGGAAATTAATTTTATTCACCCCATTCTATTTAATCAATGATTGTGTAGTTTAAAAAGAATGTATAACTTTTAGTTAATGAGATGCCAGTCATAGTTGTGCACTAAATATAACCTGCTTATTTCACCTCACAAGTAGTTATGTAGTGACATTAGTTACTTCAAGATCAACATTGGTAGAATTCTGCCAACTGTAACTGCGAATAAATTACTGAACAAGTGCAGATCAGAATAACTGAATGTGTTCTTATTTGTAAATCTTTGTCTTTGATTTTCATATTTAGTTTGGATTTAATAAAATAACTATTCTTTTCATAAAGCTGTATACATCATTAGAGTTGATATTGCTTCCTCTGATTCGATTTTGTACTAAAATTTACTTTTGGTGCCATGCAGAAACCTATTACAAAAAAAATAAAACACGTTTTAAAATAGATTCTGAATATTTCATCATACCTAAATTATAAGTGTCCAAACTCTATACTTATTTGTCAAATTTAGATTGAATTCATCTTTTTCAGTCTGTTAATAATATTAATTCTATTCTTAATGGATATAATAAATACTTAATGATTTATAAACTATGCAAAACTAATCACACATATATAACCCTCAAAAATTGTGATGTACTATTCCAAAAAGCTATTAAAAGTACTTATTCCAATTACACTGAATACTGTGGAAACGTTCCTTGGGTAAAGAAAGAATAGACAAAATAAACAAAATATTTATTTTGCATAAAGAAATTAAGCACTTGTTAGGCTAAGCACTGACAGAAGAGTAAATAAGAAATAGCCAATTAAAGAATATAATTGCTTTCAAATAATTATTATAATTTACATTAATAAGTAATGACATGTTACTGAATTACATGAACATGAATATGTATCATATGAATAGAAGAGAAACATGCCAATGTGATACTTAAAATTGCAATAACAACCTTGTATTTGGCGTAAATTTCATTCTTCTGATGAGGAAGGACCTTTAGCTGCCTCGAAATCGATTGAATGTTTTAATTTATGTACGCCAAATACAAGGTTGTTATTGCAATTTTAAATGTATCATATGCTTTTTGGTCTACGGTGAATTACTTTTCATTGTAAACCAATAAAATATCACACACATTCATCTAAATTAATTTAACAGCTTAAAAAAATACATACCTACAGATTTATCTTTCCATATTATTTAAATTAATGAAAAAAAATATGCAGATAAAACTAACATACAGACTATAACTTTTAAGTTTAAATGGAACAGAAAGAAAAATAAGCTATCTGAATGATTGCAGCTCCAGATATGGAGAATCTTGATAATTAGTATTACTACTGTACCTCAATAATGATGATAATACTAATAAAAATTAAAAACCAGATTATTACCTTCTGACTGGCATATAGTACTGGAGCTGTTGCTAGTCCAAGTCTCAAATCTGCAGCTGCTGGTTTACCCAACTCCGACTGACTGGATATGAAATCTAATAAATCGTCAATTAACTGTAATGAAAGGTAAATTTTAGTACAAAAATTGGCAGTTGTACATAGGTGAAATATCAATGAAACTACAAAAAACTGTACACTAAGTACAAAAATTGGCAGCTGTACATAGGTGACATATCAATGAAACTACAAAAAACTGTACACTATAAAAATTACATATACAGTATTTAATTGGAAAAGCAAGTGCACTATTTAACACACTTACTTTTCTATTTAATGCTGTATATGTAAGGAGTATCCTTGAAGTTGGCCTTTATTTTTTAAACAACAATAGTAATACTAATTTACAAATAACAACTAAATAAAAGATAAATAAAGCTCTTCCGTTTTCTTTGTAATCTCTCGTTTGGTCGCCCCTCTAGATCATCACCTGAGGAGTACATTCAAGATCTCCAGGCACGGTTTAAAGTGATGCATAATTTTGCATGAGAGTGAGCCAACTAAGTGACAGAGAGTTGAAGACCAGTTATGAAGAAGAGTCACAGGACATTGATTCAATGAAAAGGAATTTCTCGTAAATTACAGTCACCCTGTGATGCTCCTTATATAGTCCTAAACAAGCTGAATGACATCCCAGTTTGGGTCCATAAGTCATCAAATTCTAAGCGCAAAGTCGTTCGTTATGACAGGTTAGCCCCTTAGTGTATCATAGTGCATAGTCTTCATAGTGTATAAAGCTCTTCCGTATACTAAGACCTTAGTCTTCTGTGCATATAAATTTGTAAATCCATGCATTATTTTATTTATCTAATATTTTATTAGCTGTATGTTATTCATCGAAATTATTATTTTAGTATTCAGTGTTGATTTTCCTTAGTTGTAAGTATGGCTTCCTGTTCAGGAATTGTACTGCCCCAGATGTAGTTGTCTAGGGAAGTGGGCATGCTATGAATTGCAAATAATTTTACTGAAATTATATGTAAATTGTAGTACCTCTTGCATAATGTAACATGAAAGGCCTCAGAATGCAAAGTATCGCCAAAACAATAGGGTTACAATGGTAAGTCCATTTAACAGTGAGAAAGCTCCAAGCTGCTGATGGTTTTGGTGATTAATTTTTCTTGCCATATTTAGTGAACATTAGGTGACATTTTGTTTTTTTCCCCTGTGTAGTTGTATCTGGTCTGGCCCTATGTAACTAAATGCATAGCCTTCCAGCAGTTTCGAGAAACTGAAGGTACTGGAAATTACTCGGTGGACAAGGAAAACTATAAGACCGCAAATAGCATCAGTTTTCAGTTTAGAGTATTGAGAGATTTCCATGTGAGCCTCACTTCCTGTATGAGTACTTTTGTACAAAAAGTTTCAGAACTGCAATGTGTTTTTATTGTTTTTGGAAAAATAAATATCATGAAGCTATCATCAGTTCTGGGCACATTCAAGTCATTACGAATCCATATTCATACACCAATATTAAATATCAAAAGTAAATGCAATTTATGCAGAGCAAAGTAAAATTTTCAAACAGATAATTTTGAAAGTTAAATAAAATTTATGCAATCATTCATAGAAATAATATTGATTAAACAACCAAACATAGTACAGAAATTCTACGAGGGCAATCCCCAAAAAAAGGTCTCCTAGATTTTTAGATATAAAAAGAACCGTTTATTTTCTATAATAGCTACATCACTTTAAAGATTGCAGAATGCTTTATTTTCCAACATAATCGCCATTTTGGTCGATGCATTTTTGTAGACGCTGTAGCAGTTTTACAATGCCCATGTCATACCAGCTTGCCGCCATGCCCTTCAGGAAGCGTTGAGGAGCTTCAGGAGCATCCAGATGATCCTCCGATCTTTACGCATTTTATGAACTCAACAATCGCGAAACTCAACGAATACGAACTCAACAATCGCGAAAGTTGAGGACTCCCTCAACTTTCGCGATTGTCTCGTCGGCAATTGACGGCCTCCCACTCCTTTCTTCGTCATGAATTTCAGTACGACTGGCTGTAAACTCTCTACACCACTTGCGAACGATTTTGACATCCATGCACGACTGTCCATACACTTCTGCCAATAGGCGGTGAATTTCAACCGGTTTAACGGCTTTTGCGTTCAAAAATTGAATAACTGGGCGCACTTCGCACTAACGTTTATCGGGACCTCCATTTCGAATGCCTGCCAAGCCAGACTGAGCATCCGAGTGAAGTGCCTGCGTGTTTATGTGGTAGCGGAGGCACCACTCACAACAGTGTTGCCAACAACCGTATTAAAACTTTCTCTACGTCCCCCAAAAATAGGAGACCTTTTTTTTGGGATTGCCCTCGTACTAAATAAGGTATTCCAATTTGCACCCAAGGATAAGTCAGTGAGGCATGATAAAGTTATGTGAGGATTCTATTATTTTTTGCTAACGAAAATCATATAACTTTTAAAGGTATTCTAAATGGCAATAAAATGGTTTGATGTTTCATTAATATAAAAAATACAGAATTAAATCATATAATAAAATCAAACAGCAAAATTTATTTTTAGATTTCAATCTCTGCAAGAATAACATTGATCACATAACTAGCATCTCATAATGACTATATAATGTTTACGACTAGATTATTTTTTTAGTTCATTGTTCCATGTACAGTGGATCAAATAATACTCTTCATTACCTTCTTATCTGCGAATGCTGTAGAACATAATTTTTTATGCTATTTATTCAAGAGCTAAAAACTTCATTCAACTTAGATATTTAGGTTAAAAAAATTCTGAATTTGAAAACATGATATTTAAAAAATTGATAAAAACTATACTATTTCACAAATATTAAATACCTGAAAAGCAATGCCAACATTTCTTCCATACTGAAAAGCTGTTTCTTGTAAAGTCTTATCAGCACCACCTAAGACAGCAGCCTTAAGACAGAAAGTAAATTTAACACAAAGAAAGAGTGGGGGAAAAATACATTCTGCCATATTATAAATCAAAGCTCAATGACAGCTATTTTTCTATGAAGATATAATTTAAATATTATTTTAAGATTTTATACATATTACCTAGGAAAACGTCTTTAAGACAACCACCAACATTTCAAAATGATTTCAGTTTTATATGAAAGTGGTTGTCTTAGAAAGGTGATGTTCAGCACTTCATAAATATTTGTTTATATGTTCAGAAATGCAGCTCATTTTTAGAGGTGGTCAACATATGAAGATTCACTTTCTATATTTACAAATATATGCAAAAATGTTTCCTAAAATATATGCTTTGTAATATAATATACATACAACAAAATGAATGAAGAGATCAAATTCAAAATATCAGAAGTAACTTGTTACAGCTTAATATTTTCCAGATAAAAGTTCTGCTGGTGGGAAGAAAGCACTGAGAGAGTTCAATAATATGGCACATTTCTGCTATAAGGTACTATTAACATTTTATTTGGTAATATGTGATAAGGCTTGGCTATTGTTTTAGATCTCTTTGCCATCTCCAAAAAGGTCCTTTGCTTATAGATATAATTTTTATCTTGATTTATTTAAAATGTCTGGAAATCTTGATAAAGTAATAAAATCACAACATGTGACTTTAACAACTCACTACAAGCCGGACATATTAATCAATCAAGAAAGGTTGAGGGGGGGGGGGAAAATTAAGGAAAATTTTGTCACTGGACCTTCTCCTTCTGCTTATGATACCAAAGTATAGAAAAGAGGAAAAAAAATTCTAGCGGAGTCTGTGATTTTGAAAATTATAAATACTTGACAAACATAAACAAACCACACCAACAGGATAATGTGTTGTGTAAATGATTCAGTACAGAGAGGTTTGAGGATAAACCTCCAACAGGAGCTTTGCAAACTGGAAAATCCAAGCATTACACTGAGAAATAAATATACAGGGTGTCGGAGTCACAGAATGTGAATGCCGATCACCTCCGGATCTTTTCCAAGCACTTCTCGTTTCAAGAAACATTTTGTGGCACTTCTTCATGCTCTTAGCCTGGAGCGGATTTCTATTATAAATTGTTTGAAACATGCTTTGCACTTTTACTACAGATTTGTGTTCTGCATACAAGACAACAATTTGTGCCTTCTCTTGCAGTGATGCCATTTTTCTGTTTGTTGGCTCAGCAAAAGCACAGGTGTATCAGACATGAGAAAAAAAAAAATATTGTTGCAAAACACTGCGATTTGAGCTTCCACATGTGGCCAATATCGCCCTCGTAGCGCTAAAACTTTGTTTTTAATCTACTGTTCAAACTAGGTACATTTGATTCGGACACCTTGTATAATATACAGTTTTAGTCCAATAATCCAGCAATTGCTAAAGTCCTGAATGTGGCACATTATCAAACTTTGCTGTACAGATATGACTTTACCATCACATTTGTAAGATTTTCAATTTAAGCAAAGATACAGAGTGTTCACAAAATACCTGAACAAATTTAACCCTTAACTATTTGGGAGCAGAAAAATTTATGCCTTTGATCCTAGTCATATTTTCACACAAGCAAGTTCCAAGACTAATAGCCCATTCAGGTTAATGCCCATTTCTGTTAATAAGGTAAAAATCTTGTTTAAATTATATTTTGATACACTTGACCCATATTAAATCTAACAGCCCAGGCAAGTACATTTACATTCCATCACTTAACTTAAAACACACCCTGCTTATGTGATTCTGGCAACTGGAACCATTCATACATGTATTAGAACCATTCATACATGATTTGATTTAGTCAATATTCTATACAAGATATTATATGGACAAAACTGATCTCCAATTTAACATCATCAGATATTTGAAGAATCTCATCAGTTCCTTTAAGCTACGTCTCTAAATAATTTTAAGTTATCTAAGTTTAAAAATTAATGATTACTGTAACAGTTGCTAAAATAGAGATTGTCTTCAAAGTTAAAAATCATTAAAGACTGCAGAAGAAATATGATTAAACTATCTTTTGCTTCTTGCTATCAAACATGAAGAGACAAGTAAAATGGAACTGAAAAAATATACTAGATATTTTTGCTTCAACAAAAGCAGGCAAACAACCTCTCTGTGTTTATTAAATCCTTTTATTAGTGTTAATGCAATTTGATTAGTATTTTTTTCTTCTTTTTTAATTAGTTACACTTATTAAGATTGTTTCTGTATGATTTTGTTATTAATAAATTTTGTTTATTAGTAAAATAGTCCTGAATTGTTTAAAAATATTAAATAAAACTCAATTATTTGATTAAAATGGATTTTTAATTCATAATTATCTATATTAATATGCCTAAGTAATATATAAATATATATCTGAATTTGTGCCTAAGAACCAAAATTTCTAGCTATGCCACTGCCTGTAGACTACCAATTATATTAATAAAGGACTGAATGAAAATGCCCACAAAGAGGATGGTAGGTCCAATCCGATTTCTTTTATATCCTGTACAGAGATCAGAATAATAAAACCACAAATGTTCAATCTAGATTCAAAAAGTTTGTTAATTTAGTCATTGATAGCAAACAACATGAAAGATGAATTATTTGAAAAGAAGAAAGGATGCCACATTAGAGGACTTTCATATTGATGTCAGCAGTGGCGGCTAGTGGCTAAAATTAGTGGGGGTGCTGTTCCAAAAAAATTTAACCTTTGTTTTAAAATTATGTAAAAGGAAACAAAACATGTATAAAAAAAAAAGAAATTAAACATTGCAAGAAAAATATTTTTTTCTTGCAAGAAAAAAAAATTAAACATTTCTTAATTACTTTAACCAATATTTTTACAGTTCAATCTTTGTCTAGTCATTTAAAAATGAAATCCATTTCCCTTGTTTTAATTTGCGCGAAAAGCTCAATAATTTTCTCCTTGATCTTCTGGATGACAACTGAGGAAATTTTTCTTTATTGAAAGCAATGCAAGCGCATTTAGTCTTTCTGAATTCCTAGTGCTTCTTAGAAAAAGTTTTCATTCTTTTCAATGTTGAAAAGCAGCATTCTGCCTCTGATGTAGTCATGGGAACTATCAAGAGAATTTTTATCAGTTTCGTAATTTCACCAAGAACATAATCTAGATTATTTTCGAAGATAAATTTCAATAGCTTAATTAATTTGCAGTATTTATGGATAAGACCTACAATAGAATACTTTTAGTTCAGTTTCAAGCTTTTCTTTGCCAATCATTGGATATGCTTCAGTGGTCAGTATTATTTCTTCTGTAGAATGTTCATTCCTAAAACTAAGCATTTCTTGTTAAACAATTTAGCAGCTGCTAAGTGTTTAGTGGAAAAATATTTGTGCATTATATCAATACATAGTATAAAGTCACATATTTCCTTAGCTTCTGCCATCCGTGTCTTTGAAAAATTCTAACAGTACTTTGAGTTTCTTAATTCTAAAATAGCAGTTTTGAAAACTTTAAACACACTAATTTATCTGGATTGCATTTAGTTGTATATAATTTCAACATGTGGTATCTGATAAAAAAATCTCTAACCAAAACTTGAAATTATCATCATTTAGATATTTTAAAATTCCTGTTGCTTTTGCAATAGTTTAATCTGCATTTGATGTTGGCTGAATTTCAGTAAGGCAATTTTTTAAAAGTTGTAAATTTTCATGAACTCTGTTTATGATCCGTATGATGAAGTTCCACCTTGGGGAGGAATATCACGCGCGCGGAGTAAAAAGAAATCACGTTTTCAGCAACATGCCAGAATTTCGGCACTGCAAGAGCGACAGTGCTCTTCTCTCTACCCGGCTCGCGTGCTTGCTTTTTGTGTGCGCTGTGACGTTACAGCTACTAGCACCCCCCGCGGGCACAGGTGCTGAATTATAACTTCCTGTTTTGTTCGCAGACGAAACGGACCATACCTGCAAAAAGCAGGACTGCAGATAAAACCCCCTGGGAGTTTCCAGACACAAGGAACTATGTTTCTCTTCGCAGATAACAAAACGAGTGAAATCTTTGTGTAAGAGTTCTTCATGTGATTTTGAGGTGACTTTACGTTCTAAACCACGCCAGTGGTTTCAGTAGAACAACAGTTTTTTTATGTTGTAACTACAGTAAAAAGGACGCTTTTTTGCATCCAATCTGTGTTAGCGGATATTGTATGATTTAGGGCTGTAATGATCAGTTTATTTTTATGTTTTAATCAAGAAATCTATTTTAGTTTGTCAAATAAATAATTTAAAAGACAACCTGTCTTTCTTTCACCCAACACAGGTGTCCTGACATTACAGCTATAATAAATGGTGGCAGCAGTGAGATAAGAAAATCCATGCAGAGATTGCAGACCGTCCGAGTCTGAAATTCATCCCGAGTTTGTAGGACAGCCATTGTCCGAACATCATCAGTGTTTGCAGATAGTACAGACCGCCAGGCTCTGAAGTGCAGCACGAATTTACGAAAAGTGATTTACAGCTCTAAGTGGGGAATAGAATCCACGAAGAAGTTACGGACATCAGTCCAGAAAAAGAGGAACGACAGTCTCCTGAAATAAGCTCATCTTTAAGCGCGGTGATAAAGGTGCTTACTTGTGCGATCATCTTTTGTGTTCGAGAAAATTTACTGCAGTGAGCGTGTGGGACAATCATTGTCCGAAGATCATCAGATCATTGTGATGTGTAGAGTATTGAAAAAGTGATATGTGGGTCATCACCCTTGTAATCAAGAAAATTTAGATCATCAGATCTTGGGTGTGTGTGATATAGGTGCCTGGATCATTAGTGTCCATAAAATCTTAAATTGTGAGAAAGCGAAGTTGTGACGGCATCTGGTTTTGCATTGCCACCATTTCAACTCTCCAATCCAGACGGGTAAGTACCTTGGATTTTTATATTGAGGCAGTAAAGTAATTTAATTTAATTCTGTAAATCAGTACGTAAGTTCACATAACTGTTTTAAGTCAACTTGTTCCTGTAAAGC